CTCTCTCTCTCTCTCTCTCTCTCTCTCTCTCTCTCTCTCTCTCTCTCTCTCTCTCTCTCTCTCTCTCTCTCTCTCTCTCTCTCTCTCTCTCTCTCTCTCTCTCTCTCTCTCTCTCTCTCTCTCTCTCTCTTCTCATCTCAATTCTGCGCTTTATCCCGCATGCCTAGTCGCAGGATCGAGATCCTCCGACGAATAATCCCGACGTAGAAAGATCCGCGTCGCGGATATCGATCCCACAAGTAGAATGAGGGGTTTTAGTCGCGGAATAATTAATGTGAGAGAGCAGGTACTTCTGTGTGCTCCTCTCCGCTTTCTCTGTGATTCGATGCCGTGTGTTTACGGCGAGTTCGAGAGACGACGAGCGTGCATCGCGCCGTTGGTACGCTGTCGGTCCGTAAATCTGGCTGCGACCCATGCATTTAGCACCATCGCGTCGCTTAATGCTTGGGGCGCCGCTTTTTCTTCGTTTCTACGTAGTATATTCTCGTAATGAAGAGGTAACAGCGCGGAAATTGAATGACTTTGAAAATTGAAAGCATCGTAGAAGGTATCTAAATTTATTATTATACTACTTATTTGAATTTTTTATTTCTTCTTATTTTCTCTAATTGTCATGTTGTAATAAATATAAAAATATTTTGACGAAATTTTAATTACGTATTAACAAAAATTAATTTATACCTCTTTTTACGAATGTGGTTGTCACCGGTATACGATATGCGATAATTTTGTACGATTACACTTTTGAATCAATGATTATGAAATAAATTTTATACAGAAACTTTCCCTTACGTGTTGGCAAGATATGATTGAATGTGCAACTTTTCCAAATAATCTTCTATAGTTAGTAAAAGTAACTTGAAGCAATTTGTCACGCGCGCCGGAATTCTGCTACAGAAACTCATCGTCGGTGTAACGAGTGCGGCAACGATCAGCAACGAAAACTTGGCATCGCTCCAAGCAACATTAATACGTTTGGGAATTACTGCGGTAACTTAAACGCCTGGTCAGCATTAATCGCGTCGACATTGTGAAGACTACGCTCTTCTCGTATTTTCAAACAACATTTTCGCTTATACCGTATAAGTACATATACAGAACGATCGATAAAAACAGTATAAAAAAAAAAAGTAACGAATAATACATATGAAAAAGAAACAAATTTGTAAGCAGCTTTGCGGAAAAATCTCAATCTTCATTAAAAATGTTTTTAACATTGAAGATAGTTGCGATTATTAATCAGTTATTATTAAGTATTATTTATGCAAGGCAAATCAGGTAAAATTTTAAAAATTAATTCGACAAAAATAAAATTAATTTAACATAGCGCTTCACATTTTGCTTTCCGAGTATCCCGTGTTAGAACGTTAGTTTTCTCGCGCCGGATGCGAGACCGTTGGCTCCTCGCGTCCGTTGGAACGCGCCGGAAAAATCGTATCCGCCGCGTTCGCGCCGCGACGCGGAGGAAGGGTTGCGTTTTGGAAAAAGCGCGCCTTTCCCCTACCATTCGTCGCGTCGGAGATACCCGCGAGAGAAGACGTCTCCCTCTTCGCGGTTATCTCTCGCGCGACAAGGACGACCGATGCCGACGTCGGTATCAGCGAGCGAGAGGAGACGGAGAAGAGAGAGAGAGAGAGAGAGAGAGAGAGAGAGAGAGAGAGAGAGAGAGAGAGAGAGAGAGAGAGAGAGAGAGAGAGAGAGAGAGAGAGAGAGAGAGAGAGAGAGAGAGAGAGAGAGAGAGAGAGAGAGAGAGAGAGAGAGAGAGAGAGAGAGAGAGAGAGAGG